AAAAAAAAAAAAAAAAAAAAAAAAAGAAGGACAGAAACTTAGCTACTGAGCGAGAGTGCGGGGCGGCTGCCCTCGGTCTTTCAGTTTGGGCCTGGCTGGCAAAGGTTATGGAAATAAAGCCCCTCAGGCAGTCAAAATCTTTTTTTCCTTTTGGTAGCCTTGTTCTTTTCTTCTTTTTTTCCCCAGCTGTGGGAATTTAGCCAGTTCAGAGACCTTGTTTCCCCATAATTTGGATTTGACCAAGTCAGGCAGAGTTGATCAAACCAAATGGGAAACAGACTGAAACAACAAAACAGAAACCACAAATAAAAACAGTTCAGCAAAACAAACACGCGCTCACACGCTTTCTACAATTACTGAGTGCGCTCATGGTAAGGAGAAATGAAGACCAGTTGGTTGTTAATCTTAAGTTTTAGTCGTCAGGAGAATGTTTAAGACAAAACCCCAATTCAGCTACTTTCCTAGGGATGGGGCCCAGGCTGCAGACTGCCCTCTGCCATCTTAGAAGCAGGAAAACCTCAAACTCGTCTTCTCTGTTGGAAGCGAGCAGCAACTCCAGAAAGTAGTTGCCTGCCCTCTGTCGTTGCGGAAACAGGAAGACTTGCCTTTCTTTTTGGAAGCAAGTGAAACTCAGCACAATAAACCTTAGATCTCAACCAAATTTGAGGAGATCAGGGATTTTCTGGAGGAGGGAGCTCCTGGGCCTCAGCAAATCATCCTGTTGGTTTGAGCAATGAAGACAGTAGGCATTGTGGAGCTGTCCATCCTCGGGGAGCCCTAAACCCCAATACTGTTGGGCTGAGGTCAGAAGTCCTGGATGAAGGCTTTGGGAAAACTTCTAGGCCAGCCAAGTGTATCATTAGAAAAAAGAGTAACTACATACATTACATGACCTTTCCCCACATTATGGCCCATCATAGTTGGCATTAAAGAAAATTGCCATTCTCCATGTGGACATGACAGAGGTCTCAGGTTACGGTGGAACTGTTTTTAATGGTAAAATTGTGATCTTAAAGTTTACAGAGGATCTGGTTGGCTCAGTGGTGCATGTGCTAAGCCACCGACAGGAGCTGAGAGGCTGGACTGGGAAGGAAGCCCCAGGGCCCGCCCCCCGGGTGCAGGTGCTGGCTGCTCAGCTGCTCTCTGAGATGAAGCTGCAAGGCAAGTGTGCGTGGACTCGGTGATTTAGGTCTTTTGCTGTAGAGCGGTACCCGCTGTCTCCATGACTGTAGCTGTGTAGTAAAGCTTTGAAAGCAGAAAGCGTGAGCCCTCGAACCTTCCCCTAGGTTTCTAGTTTGTTGGCATATTTTTAAATAATCCTCCTTATTTTCCCAAAAGCAACAGTGATGTCCCCACTTCCATTACTGATATGAAGCATTTGTGTCTTGTCCGTTTGTCCTTAGTCAGTCTAGCTAAAGGTTTTTCACATTTTTGTTGGTTCTTTTTGAAGAACCAGCTTTTAGTTTCATTAATTTTCTGTTGTCTTTCTAGTTTCTGCTTTATTTTCCCCAAGCTTTTATTTTCTTCCTTCTGTTTGCTTTAAATTTGTTTGGTCTTCTCTTTCTAGTTTCTTAAGGTAGAATATTAGGTTATTGATTTGAGATCTTCTTTTTCATATCAGCATTTACAGTTGCAAATTTCCCTTTCAGCAGCGCCTTAGCTGTATGCCATCAGTTTTGATAGGTTATGTTTTTATTTTCATTGATCTCAATATTTTCTAATGTTCCTTAGGATTTTTTCCTTTGGCCTATTGACTATGTAAAAGTATGTTATTTAATTTCTCCATGCCTATGAATGCCCCAAATTGCCCTCTAGTATTGAGTTTTAATTTCATTTCATTATGTTTAGAGAACATACTTTGTATGATTTCAATCCTTTAAAATTCGTTGATACATCATTTATGGCCTATTATATGATGACTTCAGGGTAGTGGTTAAAGCACATGTGAGAAGAATGTGTATTCTGCTGTTGAGTGAGAAGGAGTATATATTTATATTTACTTGGGATTAAAAAAAACCTTGTGGCAAATCACATTGCAAAGCAGACTTGCTTTATAAATATGTTGCTCTTTTGTTTTAAAGCGAGATTTTAAAGTACAGCTTGAAAATAGGTTATATTTCAGAAATTAATTCAGAAGAGGTATGTGGAACTTGGAAAGAATTTTAAAAGTATCAGTAATTTGTCTTATGGATAAACTGTTCATGTGTCTACAATTAGTAGTTTTTCTTTTTTTTTTTTTGAGATGGAGTCTCACTCTTGTTGCCCAGGCTGGAGTCCAGTGGAGCGATCTTGGCTCACTACAACCTCTGCTTCCTAGTTTCAAGTGATTCTCCTGCCTCAGCCTCTCAAGCAGCTGAGATTACAGGCGCCCGCCACTACACCCGACTAATTTTTTTTTTTTTTTTTGTATTTTAGTGGAGATGGGGTGATTCACCATGTTGGTCAGGCTGGTCTTGAACTCCTGACCTTAGGTGATCCACCCACCTCAGCCTCCCAAAGTGCTGGAATTACAGGCGTGAACCACTGCACCCCTCTAGAATTAGTATATTTTAAAAGAATCATGAAAATAAAAATTAACGTTTGTCATTGAAGTAGAGAAAGTTAATTCAGACGATTAAAATTATCCTTAAGGTTTCAAGTAATATATAAGTAATGAGAAATGAAACTGTTTGAAAAATAAATGGAAACGATAGGAATTTCGAAATATCAGAAGTTGGGAAGTAGTTTTACATTTTCTGCTTAATAAAATGGGCCTGAGACAAAATGTTATTTCAGCTTAGATTCAAATTTTCACTAGGCTGGAAATTATAATCGCTGTAAATGGAGCCTTTGTGTCAGCAAGAGCTTAAAATGTAAAAGCTCCTCTGGTCCTTGTAATAACCAAGCAGGGCAGGTTCTGGCCTTACCTCCATTTTCCACCTGAGGAAACTGAGGCACAGAGGTGCAGATCTTGGCATGGTCATGCTGTTCCTGAGCTTGAGTTTGAAACCAGCTTTGGAGTCCCAGGTGTGTGCTCCCACGCTCTTACCCTGTCACCTCCACTCTTAGTGGGTGAGGGATGGAAAATAGGACTCCAAGTGCTGTATGATTAAGCCTGATTAGTGGTGAATGAAACCCGCTCTTCCCAGATAAACTACAGGAGTCCCAGGAAGTGCCCTACCAGCCCCTTGACTGGCTGGCAACAATGCCCTTCCAGTGACCTTGGCAGGACAGACACCCTCTGATGAGCGGCTCCAGGTGTAGCTCAGGCATGTATTCCAGCCCCATTGCCAGGGCACCGCCATCTCGACGGGCTCTGAAATGCTGCTTGGAGAGGAGAGAAAAATGTTGAAGTCGGATTGTTGAGATCAGTGTTGGCCAACAGACAAAGCAAGCCCCATGTGAAATTTTCACTTTTCTAGGGACCATGTTAAAAGGGTAAAGAGAAACAGGGGAAACTGATTCTAATAATTATGTCCGAAATACAATTTTGAAATGTAATGAATATTTAAAAATTGAGATAATTTACATTTTTTTCATACCAAGTATTTGAAATCAGGTGTGCCTTTTACACTTCCGGCACCTGTCAGTTCACACGAGCCCTGTTTTGTGTGCTCCGTAATTGCAACGTGGCTGATGGCTCCCGTACTCAGTGTGGGTTTAGATAGTAGCTATACGGTGACATAACAGCCCCGCTAATGCTCACTGTTCCCATTCCCCTAGATGGCAAGAGGTTTCTGGGGCCCCAGTGGCTGGACTGTGACTGTGACCGAGCCGTGATCGAGGACTGGGTGTCCAGGGTCCCCCACGTGGCCATATTCCTGAGTGTGGTCATTCACAAGGGCTTTCTCGTCCTGTGCTCATCCCTGGATCTGACTACCCTGGTCCCCGAGCGTCAAGTGGACCAGGGCAGGGGTTTTGAGAGCATCCTGGACATTCTCTCTGTCATGTACATCAACGCCCACCTGCCTCGGGAGCAGCGGCACTGCTGGCGCCTGCTCTTTTCATCTGAGCTCCACGGACACAGCTTCTCCCAGCTCTGCGGCCACATCACTCACCGGGGGCCCTGTGTGGCTGTCCTTGAGGACCATGACAAGCATGTGTTTGGTGGGTTTGCCTCTTGCTCCTGGGAGGTGAAGCCTCAGTTTCAAGGTAAGACTTGGTAACCTGAACCTCGAGGAGTGGCACAGCCCAGGCAAAGAGCTCTGGAGAAAGGGAGAGGGCGGGAGTGCTAAATGCGGCTCTCCCATCTTCTCCAAGTGTTTCTCTAGACGCAGTTGGGGCGATAGGAAAATGTGATGCTACTCAGTGGTGTTTATCACATCATAGTTCTTCAGGACAGACTGTGTGACCCCCAGTTTTCAGGTGAGGACACAGGCCCGGTTATTACACGGTGCTGGCTCTACAGGGCATGGGAGAAGTCAAGCCACAGATCCCTCGGAGGGGACCAGGAGATGCTGATTGGTTCAGATCTGATGTTTTCCTTCCCTGGGCCTTCCTGCCCCTGCCCCCACCACCATGTGTGTTTGCTTGTTGGAATTTGGAAGCTTTCTGCATGACCTTGAATGTACTGGATGAAAGGCTCTAAGTAAATTCTCCTCTTTCCCTTAAGGAAGAATATTCTGATGAAAACGGTCCTTTAAAATTATTTAAAACACAGGCCAGGCGCAGTGGCTCACACCTGGAATCCCAGCATTTTGGGAGGCTGAGGTGGGAGGATCACTTGAGCCCAGGAGTTTGAGACCAGCATGGGCAACATAGTGAGACTTCGTCTCTCTCTTTAAAAAAATAAAATAATAAGGCCAGGCGCGGTGGCTCAAGCCTGTAATCACAGCACTTTGGAGTCCGAGGCAGGTGGGCCACTTGAGGTTAGGCATTCGAGACCAGCCCGGCCAACGTGGTGAAACCACGTCTCTACTAAAAGTACAAAAATTGGCATGGTGGTGCACGCCTGTAATCCCAGCTACATGGGAGGCTGAGGCTTGAGAATCGCTTGAACTTGGGAGGCAGAGTTGCAGTGAGCCGAGATCACACCACTGCACTCCAGCCCGGCCGACAGAGTGAGACTCCATCTCTAAATAAATAAATAAATAAATAAATAGGTTTTTGAAACGTTGACAGACGCATCGCCCATCAGTGGGCTGTCCTCTGTACTCGAGAGTGGGCCACCATCCCCAGGGTTTGCCTTCGTCACTCCCCCGTACATCCTGTATCTCACCCCGCACCTCTGGAATGGTCATCTCTCCACCAGGCAGAGGTTCTGGACGCCGGGAACTATGTCCGGGTGGAGTTGCCCCTGCAGGAGAACTTTCAGCAGAGGCTAGGTGGCATCTGGCTGGGACAGGTAGCAGGGGTCCCAGGTTGAGAGTTGGGCACCTCTATCTCCTAGATCGCATTGTTTCTAGGGTTTGATTTCTATCGAGGTTTCAGGATGTTCTAGATCTTTATCTTAGTTCTAGGAATGGTAGGAATTCTCCCCAAATCAAAGTTTCCAGGTGCCAGCCCTGCTGGTGGGCCTTTCTAGAGACAGCAGCCTCAGCCTTGCCATGGCCACTGTCCTCTGCACACCTACCTTTCCCTGCCTCCGTGTCACAGGCATGGGGCACCAGCCCAGCCTCAGGCTCCGGGGAAATGACACATTGCTCTGCCTCTCACTACACAGCTGAAGGCTCGGCTTGAGGATGTCAAAAGACCCTGAGCATCATGATCAGGTTAAAGCTGCTGCTACCTCCAGAGCCCTTAATGTTAATTTCAGATGGACTCTGCCGGCTCTTCATGTTTTATTAACAAGCAGACTTAATCTTCCTGAAGCATGCGGGAAAAATGCAGTGGCCACGTTTTCAAACCCGAATTCATTCTGTTGCAGTACGTGTCTGCACTCGGAAAATAACAGCAGAGGGCAGCCTCGCACCATGTATGGTACAAATCCATGGACTTTGGGTCAAGTTCAGAGAGCGTGCTGTCCGCTTCTCCTGGAAATAATGACCTCTAATATCTGAGACTTTAAGGGATTTAGTAGCTGTGGGGCAAACAAGGCAAATGCTGAGGAAGGTGGCCCCCTCCTTGAGTATGGAGGATCTTTCACTGTGGGGCGATGTGGCTTCATCAACCTTTTTAAAGGACTGTTTTCTTAGTTTTATTTGAGGAAAGAAGAATTGATTATACTTAGAGCCTCTTTTGCTTGTGTTTTCTGTGCAGTAGTTGAAAAGACCCAAGGCTTTGGATTGAACACAGGATTTTGAGTCCTAGCTCTGTCCCTGGGCAAGGTGACTGATTAATTTTCTGGGCCTCAGTTCCTCAGAAGTACATGAAACCATGCTGCGTGGGCAGGCAGCTCCTCAGCGGCCGGGCGCCAGGTGGCGGCGGCATGCTTGAGTATTGTTTTATGAGAATGAGATGAGGAGCCCTTGCTGTTGGCATGACTTTTTTTTTTTTCAGGTAACCATAACTCCTCAGGTCCTTGCCCTGTATCCTGGGAAGTGATGCTTCCCCCACCTGGCCTTCCCCATGGAGAACGGCCCTTGGGGGTGGACTGGCATCTGGGCCCACGCAGCCAAAGCCTGAGCTCCATGGCCCCGCCACCTTGCTCCGCAGTATGACAGGCTCAGGATTGCAAAGCAAACGGCCGCGTACCTGAAGTCCAGCGCAGGAGGGTTGGGTGGGGCCAATACAGTCGGGTGTGACTGAGCTATTCATGGCGGCGTCTAAACCTGCCCTCAAGCCTCTGAGGCTGCTGAAACCCCAGTGAAGCAAGCCTCAGTCTTTAGCCCAGAGTAAAGTCCTTCTCTTAGCTGGTTCTGGTGGAACTTTCTAGCCTAGCTACCTTCCTTCCTCCGCCCGACGCTCTCAAGCCCCACTGTTGCCTACCTGTCCCACGCCTTGTCCTCATGGGATCCCTTCTCCATGCGGGGGGTCTGTTTCAGGGCCTCCCTCTTGACCTTGGAAGCTGCCTCCCAGAAGCCTCCAGGATGACAGAGGCCCCCCCGGGGATCTTTCTAGATTGGAGGCCTTGGGTGGTGTCAGCCCACACTACAGACTGGGCCCTGTTTGCTTGCTCAGGGCCATCATCCTCTTCCAGCCTCCTGGTCTTGGTGCCTCCTTCTTATCTACATTCTACCATGGTGCCCCCAATTTTCTTCCTGTGACTTCTTTCCCCCCGGATGACTAGCCCAACCCCAAATTCCTATGAGCAGCCTTCCGGCTTGTTGTGACACTTGTGTATGCTGGTGTCCAGGCGGGCAGCCCTTTTGGCCAAGTCCTCAGAACATGGTGGGAAACGCCCCTCGCTGGGAGCTCTGAGGATGAGGCCTGGCCTATGGCCCTCTCCCCAGTGCTGAGGTGCTTATGGAGGGAAGGAGTCTCTGAGACTGGGGACCCGTAGTTTCCAGAGTTTTGACTGGTACCTTTCTTCTAATGGCCTATGTGCCCACCGCATGCCTGTGGGCGAGGGTGGATGACCACCTTTCCCAGGCTGTGCCCCGCGGGGCAGCTCTGCACCCGCAGGTTTTCTCTCTCTGCATGGTGTGTTCTTTCAGGCCAGGCTCAGCACCATGCAGCGTCACTTGCCTGCTCGGGTAGGCTGTGCTGGAGGCCTTGGTCTCTGCGGACTGACCGCCTGCTCCTCGCTCATAAGCTAAAGGAAGCCTGTTCTTTCTGGCTTGCATGTGCTTGGCCAGCCTGGACCGACTCCAGACAGTGGGCAGAGTTGTGATCTCTGCTCCCCCGGCCAGAGCTCAAAGATGTCCCGTTCCTTACTAGCTGTCCCTCTAATCCCTGCACCCCCAGCTCATCCACCTGGGTCCCCAGCAGCTTGTCCCAACCCCCGGTCTGCCGACACCTGGTTATGGGTGAGGGGTCTTGGCCGTGCTGCTTCCTGAGCCGCAGCTTACTGGCGTTTCTGGCCCTCTGGGACCGGCTCAGACACTGACCCTGTTTGTTTTGTTCTCTGGCCACTTTCAGGGGATGACAGATGCTTCCTGTTCTCCATCTGTCCCAGCATGGCCGTGTACACACACACAGGCTACAACGACCACTACATGTACCTGAACCACGGACAGCAGACGATCCCGAATGGACTGGTGAGCCTGGGCGGAGCGTGGGGGTCTCACCGTGGTGATGTCCCCCCGCGAAGGCATCAACCCCGAGGCTCAGCTCCACAGATCAGGGCAGGGCGCGTGGCATTCATGTCCTCACACACGCCATGTCCAGTTCCTTCTGCCTCCAGGGCCGGTGCTGGGGGTGGTGACAGCTGGGCCAGGATTTCCCTTAGAGAAGGATGTGGCCTCTGCTGGGGCTTCTCTGTGGTTTGTGTGCAGATGGCGCACTTAGCCCCTTTTTCTGGCCCTCAGATGATTGGTTTGTGGCCTTTGAGGCTAGGGGTAGTGTTAGCGCCAGACCCGTCCCTGCACGTCACTGGCCTGCCTCATACCTGGGAGTGCTGGACTGAGGGGAATGGACGGCCGGCAGCTCAGGAGACAGCATGTGGGGCCCCAGTTGGGGTGACCATGGCTCCTGTCCAGCCCTCGCTTCAGCTTGGTGACGTGGCACAGGAAGCACAGGGAAGTAGGGGAGGCCTAGGCCAGGTACAGGGAGCAGGTGGGCATGGGTCCCGAGGGCAGGAGCTGGGGCAGCATCTACGCCAAAGCCCAGCTTACTCCTGCCAGCTCCCCTGCCGATTTCTTTCCTCTGCTACTTGACAGAAAGCTCTTACTGGGAAAACCCAGTCCTGTGTCTGCAGAGCTGAGGGCAGAGAAGGCTGGTCCGCTAGAGGGGCCAGTGTCCTTCCCAGGCTTACCACACTGATGCCCTGGAGAGAGGGAGGGGCGTGGCTGGGCCACCTAGAACACCTGGCATCTTCTGGAAAGGGCGATCTGGTGGCGGCAGGAGAGAGGGTGCCAGCCTCACAGGGAGCACTTGGCAGGCCCCGGTCATCGCTCGTCATTGGCCCTGAGGGACAGAGCGGCTCCGACTGTCAACTCTGGACAGTGTGATCGGGTCTCTTGTTGCCCAAGGTCAGAACTAGGGCGTGCCAGGTGTTCCAGGCCTACCAGGGACCAGAGGAGGTTCTCGGCAGGGTGAGGTTGAACAGCTCAGAGCCCAGCCATGTGACTGGGGGTGGAAGGCACAGGGGTTCGCGTCTGCCTCTGGGTCTGCCTCTTCATCCTGTAAGCCACACACTCAGAGCTGAGTTTCCCAGTCTGTCTCGGGGTGAGGATCGCTGCACGGAAGCGGGAGCACTGGTGCCCCAACATGGGGGGTTTGCAGTATCAGCTTCTGTGTTCCCTTCTCCCCTTATCTTAACTGAGTGGGACCCTGGGCCCTGGAGGTCTCTTTCTATATATATATTTAACATTTTTAATTCTCTGACGTCACTTGTGCTTTCAGCAAGCAAATCCTCCTGAGAAAGAGCCGTGGGTGGGTGTCTGGAGACATAGATGACTGTTCTAATCACTTGGCATGGGATGCTTAAATGGCAGCAATTGATATATTTCGCAGTTAAGGAAAACATAGATGATGGCATGCATTCACACTCACCCGCCCTGTCTCAGGCTGGTACTTAAGGTGAGAGGCTGGCTCGTGGTATTTGATGTCCGCAGGTCCTGAGGAGTTGCTGATGCTGTTCTCTGTCCTGGCTTCCTTTGCAGGGGATGGGGGGGCAGCACAATTACTTTGGGCTTTGGGTGGATGTTGATTTTGGGAAAGGACACAGCAGAGCTAAGCCCACGTGCACCACGTACAACAGCCCGCAGCTGTCAGCCCAGGAGAACTTCCAGTTTGATAAGATGGAGGTGTGGGCGGTTGGAGACCCTTCAGAGGAGCAGTTGGTGAGTGGAGCCATCCTCTGCCTCCCAGGATGGCCTCTTGAGCCTGGGGGCCTTTCTCCGTTTTCTTACCATTACCCCCTTTACTCTTCTGTCTGCAGATAGTTTATCACAAATTTGATCCTGGCAGCTAACGCTGGTTTGGATGCCAGGAGATGCATGGCTGGAAGTCTTGTCTGGGATTTGTGGGCGGTTTAGTAGAGCAGCCCTGGGAAGCCGGGGGGTGGTCCTCAAGTGCGAGCCCAGGTGGCCCTTCATTCTCTCTGCCCACCTACAAGAGGAAGGTCTGGGGTTCCTTCTTCCCTGGTTCCGCACCTGATTTGCTATTGACCCCTGAACCTCCTGTAATACCTCCTACCCACCCAGCCATTGAATCCCAGAGTGGGAGGGGCCTTAGGGGGAACCAGAGTCGATTCCACCCGAGAAGGCTGGAAAACTAGCAGGAAGCCGCTGCCTGTTGTTGGGCCATCATGGAACATACCCACCCTTTCTTCTCTTCTATTCTCAAGGCCAAGGGCAACAAGAGCATCCTGGACGCGGACCCTGAAGCCCAGGCCCTGCTGGAGATCAGTGGGCGGTCGCGCCACAGCGAAGGGCTCCGGGAAATCCCAGACGATGAATGAGGAGCCGCCTGAGCCTTCCTGGATTCCTCTGGGTAGAGGGCACCGCCTGCAGCCCCTCTTCCCTCCCCCATGGTTTAATGGATCACAGCCAGGTAGTCCCAGATGTGCCAACAAGACGCCCTCTGAAGCCGTGTCCTGACTGATGGGTGGATCTCCCAGAAATAGACGTTTTTTAAATTTTATTTTTTGCCCTACAGGGTCACTCTCAGGATCTCTCCGAGAAATCTTAAGTGTCAAATTAGTAACTCAATCTTACACTTTGTTCTTTTTTACTAATGAAATCCTAAGCAGCTGAGACCTTTCAGACCCCCGCTGGCATTAGGGAATTCCGCTGGCATTAGCGTTTGTTGGGGGTGCAACTTCTCTATTGAGGAGGGGCTTCCTCCCGCTGAGGTTCATATGGCCTCACTCAGGCCATCCTGTTAGAAGGTGGGACCTGATGGTCTGTTCTGACGGGTAAGGGACAGAGGCATCTGGATGAATCTCGACGCTTTCTGAGAACAGCTTCCAATGGCATGGGAGTTCTGTATTTAAAAGCATGAACTGTATAAAATGGGGAAATGGAGGCAGGAGACTGAGGTAACATGGTCTTGTGGTGGCGTGAGTCCTCAGAAGGTGTTTGTAATTAAGGTTCCACACCCAGCTCTCTCAGCTGTTTTTAAATGAATGTGTGTCATGAATAGATGGGAAAGTTGGGAGATCTGTCTACAGAGAAGCAAAGTTGTGGTTCTCTTGCTAACTTCAAGGTAGGGACACTGGGCGCCCTAAGTTTGGGAGCTTGGTTGATAAATAGATACATGGTCCATTCCATAAATCAGTGGTGAGTGACTGGCCTGGGTTCTAGACCTCTAGGAACCAGCACCTGAGTCACACCTGTCTAGGCCTCGGTGCTGGCCTGGGTCCTAGACCTCCGGGGACTGGTGCCTGAGTCAACAGTTGTTGGTACAGCCATTTGCCCAGGGCTGCTCGCAAGGGGGATGATGGAAAATTCAGCAGTGTAAACTCGCTTTAAACAAGGTCCGGTGATCCCAAAATGCTGAATATCATGTAGGTGGGTTGTTGGGTCAGCAGAGCTGCCATCTGCCCACGTCTGGATAACAACACATGGTGAGTCACCAGTTGGCTACGAGAATTCTCCACTTTAAAGGCACTGTGAGCTTGTCTCTAAGATACATACCTCTGCCTTTTGTCTTTTGCCGTAAGCTTTGACCTGTTGCAGATCTGATGAAAATACAACCTCTTATTATATAGTTTGCCTTGATTATAAGCCATAGTAAATCTAGCTGTTCGCATTTTGTAGGCCCTGCATTTTCTACTAGAAGGTTCATCAAACCTTCCACTTAGCAATACCCTGACTCAGGCAGAATGTCTTGTAAATTAGCCTTCAAAAGAAAAGTGCACGCTCAGACAGTGTGTGGAGGAGCAGGAGCGTGATGCAGGCAAGGACTTAGTCATGACTGATTGTCCTTGGCCAGTTTTTAATGGCTTGTGGGGAACATTGTAATCTTCCGAACTGACATGTTGGCAGATGTAGAATATTAGGATGCTCAAACATCTCTACCATGAGTCCAAGGAATTTAGGTCCCTGTTATCACTTTGTTTTGGAATGTTTTTTATAAAAATGCAACTAAATACCTCACTATTAAATTGCCATGATGCCTCAGTTCAAAAAAAATTAAAATAAAGGTCCGTCAGTGTCTGTGCCTTGATGATCCTTCATTGCTGCTTCTGCCTAGGCTGCCGCAAAGGTTAGGACTTTGTCCACTCACATGCTTTCTACCCTGAGCTTGTTCTAAGGAGACTGCAGATCACAAGTGGACCTACCTCCAGGTGGTGCACTTAGAGAAAGGGCACTGGCCCGGGCTTGGAAGCCGGGGGGATGCAGCTCTCTCCATGGGCTTCTCTTGGTGCATGGTTCTGCCTCTGGGCACTCAACCTTTTTAGGGTATGTGCAGGGCTGGGGCCAGTGGACCTGACAATGCCTTACCTGGCTCTGAGAAACTTTTAATCCTAGTTTGTACAAATGAATAGTTTGTTCTTTTGTGAAACCAGAATGAGAATTCAGGTTCTAAGGACTAGAAGTCTCCCTACAAATGACTTATCAGGGCCCTAGAAAGTGCTAGAAGGAAGAGGTTAAAAAAAAAAAAAAATTGTCCACGTTTCAAACTACTATAAATGATTGCCACATTTGTAAGCTATTATTTTTTCCCCACCATATTTTTTAATTAAAAAGGCTGGGGCTGGTCATGGTGGCTCACGCCTGTAATCCCAGCACTTGGGGAGGCCGAGGCAGGTGGATCACCTGAGGTCAGAAGTTCGACACCAGCCTGACCAACATGGAGAAACCCCAGCTCTACTAAAAATACAAAATTAACTAGGCATGGTGGTACATGCCTGTAATCTCAGCTACTCAGGAGGCTGAGGCAGTAGAATTGTTTGAACCAGGGAGGCTGCGGTGAGTCGAGATTGTGCCATTGCACTCTAGCCTGGGCAACAAGAGTGAAACTCCGTTTCAAAAAAAAAAAAAAAAAAAGCTGGGTGTGGTGGCTCACGCCTATAATCCCAGCACTTTGGGAGGCTGAAGCAGGCAGATAACTTGAGCCCGGGAGTTCAAGACCAGCCTGGGCAACATGGCAAAAACCTCTCTCTACAAAAAAATACAAAAATTAAGTAGGCGTGGTGACACATGCCTGTGGTCCCAGCTACTTGGGAGGCTGAGGTGTGAGGATCATTTAAGCCTGGGAGGTTGAGGCTGCTATGAGCTGTGATTGTGCCACTGTACTCCAGCCTGGGCAACACAGCAAGACCCTATCTTAAAAAAAACTGTGTACCTGGTTTAGAAAAAAAAGGATACAACTTAAAGTCAGTCATCTTCCTGCCTCTTGTCCAGCTATTTTCCCTCCTGACAGGCAAAGGCGCTGATGCAAAAATCACTCAGGTCTCCTCCCTGTGACTTGGTGCACACCTGAGCGTCACCGTGTTTTACACGCTGATGCATCCTTTGCTTTCTTTTTTAAAGGGAGGTCCGTATCCACCCACCTGCCTCCCTCTTGTCTTTATGCACAGCATGATGTCCCACCGTATGGATGCTCTCGGGCCTAGCATTCCACCGTCCCCAGCTGGGGAACGTTTTGTTTGCAGCTAATCATTGTCATGAATGTCATTTATGTGTGCCTTGGTGTGATGGTGTCTGTGGGATAAACTCTTAGAATTGGAATTGTTGGATTGAGAGGTATATGCCTTTTATTTAGATATGGATGAATTAAACCTCTTGAGCTCAATTTATACTCTTAATATGCCAGAGTGCCTGTTTGCCGTGTTTTCAGCAACACTATTAAAATATGTTTTTTTAAACCTGATAGACGAAAACTATATTTTGTTAATACATAATATTTACATACTTATGGGGTACATGTATTCGTTACATGCATAGACTGTGTAATGATCAAGTGAGGGTATTTGGGGGTGTCCATCATCTTGAGTATCCTTTCCACATTGCAAGCATTTCAAGTCTTCCCTTGTATCTACTGTGAAATACACAGTGCATTGTTGCTGACTACGATCACCCAGTGCTACTATGGAATGTGAGAACTTAACTCTTCTAACTGTATGTTTGTATCCACTTGTGGGGCACCCGATTCTGTTGCTGTTTGGGGTGCAACTAAGTAACCCTCATGCACCTAGGGGAACTGAACAAAGGGGGCAAACACGGGAATAAAAGACAAGAGACAAAAGTATATTTGGATGAAGGGGTCAGGGGGCACCTTGCCTCTAGTGGACAAGGGCCCTGAGCTTTGCACAGCCCTCCATATTTATTAGGCAAAAGAGATAGAAGGAGGGTGGAAGGAAGGGGTCAGCTGCTCAGTCTGGAGTAGGCTTGCAAGGCTGCATTCCTTGAACACCAGGCTCTAGATGTCGCAGTAGATAACCTCGGTGCCAGGGGGTGATGGCCTTCAGCAAACCTTGTGTCGGCAGGAGCAGTGGTGAGTTTGCTCACATCCTGCGTTCATGATAAACAGTTTGCTGTTTGATCATACAGCCTCCAGTGGAATGCTGAGTTGGTTACATCCCACGGGCCTTCGGCTCCCTGCACCCACTAGCCAACATCTCTTGCTCCCTCCCACCCATACATCCTTCCCATCCTCTAGTATCTATCATTCTTTTCTCTACCTCCATGAGAGCCACCTTTTTTTTTTCTTTCTTCTCTTTTTTTTTTTTTAGCTGACACATCAGTGAGAACATGCAGAATTTGTCTTTGTGTCTGGCTTTTTCACTGAACATAACGACCTCCAGTTCCATCCATGTTGCTGCAAATGACATGAGTTCACTCTTCATGGCCAAATAGTATTCCCTTGTGTATACATACACCCCATTTTCTTTCTTTTCTTTTTAAATTATTTTACGTTCCGGGGTACATGTGCAGGATGTGCAGGTGTGTTGCATAGGTAAACCTGTGCCATGGTGGTTTGCTGAACCTGTCAACCCATCACCTAGGTATTAAGCCCAGTATGCATTAGCTAGTTTTCCTAATGCTCTCCCTCCCCCCACCGTGCCACCAACAGGCCCCAGTGTATGTTGTCCCCCTCCCTGTGTCCATGTGTTCTCATTGTTCAGCTCCCACTTATAAGTGAGAACATGCAGTGTTTGGTTTTCTGTTCCTGTGCCAGTTTGTTGAGGATAATGGCTCCCAGCTCCATCCATGTTCCTGCAAAGGACATGATCTCATTCTTTTTGATGGCTACATAGTATTCCATGGTATATATATACCACCTTTTTTTAATCCAGTCTATCATTGATGGGCATTTGGGTTGATACCATGTCTTTGCTGTTGTGAATAGTGCTGCAGTGAACATATGCGTGCATGTATCTTTGTAACAGAATGATTTATATTCCTCTGGGTATGTACCTAGTAATGGGATTGCTGGGTCAAGTGGTATTTCTGATTCTAGATCTTTGAGGAATCGCCACACTGTCTTCCACAATGGTTGAACTAATTTACATTCCCATCAACAGTGGAAAGGCGTTCCTGTTTTTCTACAACCTCGTGACCATCTGTTGTTTCTTGACATTTTAATAATTGCTATGCTGACTGGCAAGAGATGGTATATACCATAGTTTCTTTATCTGTTCATCCATTGGTGGACATTTAGGTTGTGTCTACATCTTTGCTGTTGAGAATAGTGCTGCAGTAAATGTGGGCATGCAGGTATCCCTTTGACACACTGACTTCTTTTTCTTTGAGTAAATACTCAGTA